TACGCACTAAATGTACCGCCGCCTCACAGCCACCTCTAGTGCCAAAACCTAGTTGAGTAGGCTGAAATTTGGTCTTAAGTCTAGAGATTATGTACCTGCAAGCTAATTTTGAAGTTAAGCGTCGAAATGTGGAACCAACGGCAATAGGACGGATACCGTTATCCTTTTTTTTGAAGGCACATAATCTTGCCCCATATAAGAATGGAGTGAAATTTGGATTAACATTACCAGAAAGCATAAAGTTACATAATTTTGTAATGTCTTTAAGAAGTACTCCGCTGGCACCGGCAGAAGCGCTTACAAGATCTTTAAGATGTTGAGGCGTAATTCCGCCAATGCCGCCAGCAGAGCCATTCGAAAATGACATAATTGCTTCTAAAGTGTCTTTTTCCGAAATTTGTAAAGGTTGCATAGAAGTCTTGGGAGGCAGCGGTAAACCCTGAGACGGTTTGACCGAAGGATGCTTTTGACGAAGGCTTTCAAGAGTTTCGACATTACGAGGAGCCAGGATGTCGTCTGAAAATAAAATACGGGATGCATTTTTTAAGTCGCCATCCATTACTTTCGACTCAACTACTTTTTTTAAATCAAATTTAGGATGTGGTCGAGATAAATGAGTATTAATTGGGTAATCTAAATTTTGAAAAGATGTCTCTTTTAGTTGAGACGTAATTGATTTATTTATTATTTTATCAAAATGAAAATGGGGATACGCGAAAGTAAATAATTTTTGCCAACTATTTTCACTATTAGTGAAACAATTTTGAATAGTGCATGACAATGCTTTAGCAAGCTGCATCCTCGCACCTCTAGGAATTCTTTTAACCACTGGTACATTACGATAATAATTGTAAATTTGCTCCGAAAAGAGGGAAACATTTGTGTCATTAGAGGAATTGCTAATAAAGTTATGAATTTCTACGGCAGGCTGTGAAGCCGAAATACTTTTACTATGGCATCGTTTAATATGTATATTTAATCCCCTTTTACCTTTAAACAGCCTACCGTCAGCACAATTTTGACACTGTAGGAAATCCGGCTGTGAATGTAGAGGAGCAGAGATATTCATTAAAAAATCTAAACAGATCTCTACAACACTCAAAAGTCTTTATATTACATATTCATATTAACTTGAAATGTGCTGTACCCCGCATCTTTCCCTGAAACAATCATTTACGGCCTAAATAAAAGCACTTTACTCTATAAATTAAATATTATTACATTACTTCCCTGGATTTATTCCATATTGATAAACATTGTATGTATAGTCGTTACGCTTTGACAGTTGTCAGCGGCGCAGCAGAAATATTTTCCTTTATTAATTAGTATTCTTCTTGAATATCGTCTAAGCTTTACCACTGATTCGGTAAAAACACTGTCCTGGGAAGAACCAACAAGAAACCCAGCGGGACTTTTTTAAGAATTCTTTACAATATAACATTTTATACAATTATTAATACGAAAACATTTAGAAACAGGATGGTAGCGATCACCTCATTCCCAGGGTCATCCTCAGACCCCAAACGAAACTAATTTAAAAGAAGACATTAGATTACATACACCCAGATAATTTATCAATAATATTCCATTTTTGTTAGATTTTAAGAAATTGGCATTCGCCAAGCGGTGCCGACGCGTTTGAAATTTCCTGAATTCTTCTTGAGCCATAATTACCTGCTTGTTAAGCTTAGATCAATAACATCGATACTGGAAATGAGCCATGTTTAAAATATACGTATATTTTTCATTATATTGGAATTATATTTAAATCCAAAATAATGATGAGTCTGGCACAATAACGCCTCGTAGCCACAATGATGTTTGTAAATATTTTCATGTTGCCTATTTTACTTTGCTGTACCATTTATATAAGCTTCAATACGCATCACGTATGATTTTGCGCTATTTTAATGAATAGAATTGAAATTAACTTAAATGGAAAATCATAAATTCATGCTACCCGTGGTTCAAAGCGAAGCGCTTAGCTTGGACAGGCTTCTGACGTGTCTTAAGGATATTAAATGCTGACTGCAAAAACAAAAACCGGTATTGCACAAAAAAATCTACATTTAATTATAGATCACCATATCTGTGAGCTTTATCATCATTTATTTTAAAATAATAAAAATAAAATGAAGAAAATAAAGAAATGAAACGATTTATTCATAGCAATAACACAATGTGCTTTATGAGAAGGTCTATTTTGACCTTTTTGTATGTACTTACGTCCGATAAAAGTTGTTGTATTTTGAAATTATACTCTGACGTGTCCATTATTACCGTAGCATTTCCTTTATCCGCGCGGAGAATCGTGAGCTCTGGTCTGTTGCGTAAGTTGTACAACGCTTTAAATTCGTCTTTGGGGAGGTTTAATTTCGGCGCTGAACTTCGACGTAACAAGGACGAAATGTCTTGACGTATAGCCTCTAAATCCTCTTTACCGATATTATTCTTAAACAGACAATCCTCAACACTACAGATAATTTCCTCGTACGGGATTTTTTGCGGCGTTATAGCAAAATTCAAGCCTTTCGACAATACTTTCATTGTAGGTTCGTCCAGTGTTTCTTTTGACAAATTATAGACCGTGCGTTGTTTATTGTTTGCGTCTGTGGTCAACGGTTGTTGCGTTTCGTTTCTACGTTGACATGGATGTTTGGCATTTGATTTGATAGTTAATTTTTGGTATTTTTCTATTTGTTTGTCTTTGCATTCATTATATTTCGATATTTCGCGTTTGTTTAAGGTTTCAATGCAATTATTAAAATCAAATGTCGTTAAAACTGTTTTTAACTCACTGGACAAATTGTCTATGGTATTATTTATGATTTGTAAATCGAACCGTTTTTGCTGAATCACCGTTCGTAACAACTTTTTACTTGCCTGATTTAAGATCTTAGCGCTTCCTCGAATGTCCTTTTTAGTGGATATTTTGACGCACGTAGGAATGAGGTGGTGGTCGCGACATCGTTTCATAAAAGTTAATGCCGTTAGATATCTTGCGCGCTTGGTCATGAGATCTTCTAATCGGCGAATTTTATTTGCAATTACCAGTCCGTACTGGTTTACATAATGATTTCTTATATTTACGCGAACACTACACATTTTTAATTAAAATTAATTTTACGGATTTTATCGCGTATATTAATCTATTTTTGTATTCCCGACGTTTCGGGTGCTTTCCAGCACCCGTGGTCACGGGGGACTGAGGTGTTTGACGTCCTGCTGTCATAGTTAGCCCGGCTACCTTCAGTTTTTTAATATTAATTTTTGGCAATGGGCTCACCTATATCTCCCGTAGTCGCCGACATATTCATGGAGGACTTTGAGGAGAAAGCCCTTCTTATTGCTCCTGTAAATCCAAGATTCTACAAGCGGTACGTAGACGATACTTTCACAATTTTACCATCTGACAAAGTAACTGCATTTTTAAACCACCTTAATTCCATAAACCCTAAAATACAATTCACAATGGAGTTAGAGGCAAACAATACTTTAGCTTTCTTAGATGTTTTAGTCATCCGAAATCCTGATAACACTATTGGTCATACTGTGTACAGAAAAAATACCCATACCAACCGATATCTAAATGGTGAATCTCACCATCATCCTTCACAGTTAGCTACCGTGGGAAAATCTTTGTTTCAGAGAGCACGAGGGATCTGTGACAGAAAACATCTGGCCGCCGAGCTTCAGCACGTCGAGCAAGTACTGCAAGACAACAAGCTTCGGGTCCCGCGCCTACGTCACAGTGACCGAGTGAAGCCAGCCACAGTCGAGCGTGTGCCTGCTGTACTACCCTATGTCAGAGGAGTCACAGACAAGGTTGGCTACATCTTGAAGCGAGCTTCCATTAAAACATACTTCAAGCCGCTGAAGAAGATTGGTCAATTTTTACCATCCGTCAAGTGTCATATCCCTCTACAAGATGCAGGAGTGTACAAGCTGGATTGTGAATGTGGTCTCTCGTACATAGGACAAACAAAAAGATCTATTAAAACCCGCGTTAAAGAACATATAGCTGACGTGAAGCACCGACGTATCGGGAAGTCTGCAGTTTGTGCACATGTTCAAGATCGTCCCCGCCATTACATTAGATTTGATAGACCACAAATCCTCGCAAAAGAACACCGATTCCTCCCAAGGATGATTCGCGAGGCTATTGAAATTAAAAAACATCCTAATTTCAATAGAGACGATGGATGGGTACTGCCATCTGCTTGGGATCCCATAATTAATAAAATCAAATCCAAACCCAAGTATACCACTGCTAGACTTCAAGATACCGTAAGCTCATTCTGCGTAAATCGGACCAAAAATTAATATTAAAAAACTGAAGGTAGCCGGGCTAACTATGACAGCAGGATGTCAAACACCTCAGTCCCCCGTGACCACGGGTGCTGGAAAGCACCCGAAACGTCGGGAATATAAAAATAGATTAATATACGCGATAAAATCCGTAAAATTAATTTTAATTAAAAATGTGTAGTGTTCGCGTAAATATAAGAAATCATTATGTAAACCAGTACGAACTGGTAATTGCAAATAAAATTCGCCGATTAGAAGATCTCATGACCAAGCGCGCAAGATATCTAACGGCATTAACTTTTATGAAACGATGTCGCGACCACCACCTCATTCCTACGTGCATCAAAATATCCACTAAAAAGGACATTCGAGGAAGCGCTAAGATCTTAAATCAGGCAAGTAAAAAGTTGTTACGAACGGTGATTCAGCAAAAACGGTTCGATTTACAAATCATAAATAATACCATAGACAATTTGTCCAGTGAGTTAAAGACAGTTTTAACGACATTTGATTTTAATAATTGCATTGAAACCTTAAACAAACGCGAAATATCGAAATATAATGAATGCAAAGACAAACAAATAGAAAAATACCAAAAATTAACTATCAAATCAAATGCCAAACATCCATGTCAACGTAGAAACGAAACGCAACAACCGTTGACCACAGACGCAAACAATAAACAACGCACGGTCTATAATTTGTCAAAAGAAACACTGGACGAACCTACAATGAAAGTATTGTCGAAAGGCTTGAATTTTGCTATAACGCCGCAAAAAATCCCGTACGAGGAAATTATCTGTAGTGTTGAGGATTGTCTGTTTAAGAATAATATCGGTAAAGAGGATTTAGAGGCTATACGTCAAGACATTTTGTCCTTGTTACGTCGAAGTTCAGCGCCGAAATTAAACCTCCCCAAAGACGAATTTAAAGCGTTGTACAACTTACGCAACAGACCAGAGCTCACGATTCTCCGCGCGGATAAAGGAAATGCTACGGTAATAATGGACACGTCAGAGTATAATTTCAAAATACAACAACTTTTATCGGACGTAAGTACATACAAAAAGGTCAAAATAGACCCTACAACTAATACACTTAAAATAACTACTGATTTAATAAAGAAATACTCCGAAAAATTAGATCTCGACGTGAATTCGACAATACAATCATGTGCCAAACCACCGAGGTTGTATGGGTTACCGAAAATACACAAACCAAACGCTCCACTACGTCCTATAGTAAGCCAGATCGATTCACCAACTTATAAGTTGGCTCAACACTTGGCTAAAATACTGTCACCACTAAGAGGACATACCAGAGCACACACAAAGGATTCATACCATTTTGTTAGTGAGATTAAAGACCTACATCTCGCTGACAATGAAACTATGGTCAGTTTTGATGTTCAGTCACTATTCACATGCCTACCTATTGAAGACTGCATCTCAATTGTTACTAGAAAGCTAGAAGATAACAACATGCCTACGGAATATGCAGTATTACTCAAACACTGCCTCACATCTGGCTATTTATTGTGGAAAGAAGAGTTCTACATGCAAGTAGACGGAGTGGCAATGGGCTCACCTGTATCTCCCGTAGTCGCCGACATATTCATGGAGGACTTTGAGGAGAAAGCCCTTCTTACTGCTCCTGTAAATCCAAGATTCTACAAGCGGTACGTAGACGATACTTTCACAATTTTACCATCTGACAAAGTAACTGCATTTTTAAACCACCTTAATTCCATAAACCCTAAAATACAATTCACAATGGAGTTAGAGGCAAACAATACTTTAGCTTTCTTAGATGTTTTAGTCATCCGAAATCCTGATAACACTATTGGTCATACTGTGTACAGAAAAAATACCCATACCAACCGATATCTAAATGGTGAATCTCACCATCATCCTTCACAGTTAGCTACCGTGGGAAAATCTTTGTTTCAGAGAGCACGAGGGATCTGTGACAGAAAACATCTGGCCGCCGAGCTTCAGCACGTCGAGCAAGTACTGCAAGACATCAAGCTTCGGTTCCCGCGCCTACGTCACAGTGACCGAGTGAAGCCAGCCAGAGTCGAGCGTGTGCCTGCTGTACTACCCTATGTCAGAGGAGTCACAGACAAGGTTGGCTACATCTTGAAGCGAGCTTCCATTAAAACATACTTCAAGCCGCTGAAGAAGATTGGTCAATTTTTACCATCCGTCAAGTGTCATATCCCTCTACAAGATGCAGGAGTGTACAAGCTGGATTGTGAATGTGGTCTCTCGTACATAGGACAAACAAAAAGATCTATTACAACCCGCGTTAAAGAACATATAGCTGACGTGAAGCACCGACGTATCGGGAAGTCTGCAGTTTGTGAACATGTTCAAGATCGTCCCCGCCATTACATTAGATTTGATAGACCACAAATCCTCGCAAAAGAACACCGATTCCTCCCAAGGATGATTCGCGAGGCTATTGAAATTAAAAAACATCCTAATTTCAATAGAGAAGATGGATGGGTACTGCCATCTGCTTGGGATCCCATAATTAATAAAATCAAATCCAAACCCAAGTATACCACTGCTAGACTTCAAGATACCGTAAGCTCATTCTGCGTAAATCGGACCAAAAATTAATATTAAAAAACTGAAGGTAGCCGGGCTAACTATGACAGCAGGACGTCAAACACCTCAGTCCCCCGTGACCACGGGTGCTGGAAAGCACCCGAAACGTCGGGAATATAAAAATAGATTAATATACGCGATAAAATCCGTAAAATTAATTTTAATTAAAAATGTGTAATGTTCGCGTAAATATAAGAAGTCTTAGAGAATTCAAAAAAAATCTTTGACAAACTCACATAGAGACACAGACACCGAGGTGACTCTAAAAGTGAACGAATTTTGCTAAATTTGCCACGGAATAGCATCTACTGATGTTTTTAAATTAAAGACGGTTAAAAAGCTAATATATTTATATATTAAAATATTATTATTTTTTCGTGTTTTCTTTTTGCTTAACGTACCTTGCTCCAATAATGAATCAGAGACAAACTCAGATTTTACCACATAACTCTTACATCAGCCGTGAGTATATATGGACTATAGTGTGAGTCTGTCTTTCTTATTTGCTTTGTTCCAAAATCTGAGGTTGTCTCTGGTTCATTATTGGAGCAAGGGACGTTAAGCAAAAAGAAAACACGAAAAATAATAATATTTTAATCAGCTACTTCCATAGCATAATGTCGTATGGTATTTTGCTATGGGGACACGCAGCTGACACTGAAATTATATTTGTTTTGCAAAAGAGGGCCATAAGAGCAATTTATGATTTAAAGCCTAAAGAGTCGCTGCGACAAAAATTTAAGGAAATTAATATATTAACTTTGGCCTCTCAATACATTTATGAAAATGTAATGTACGTACACAAAAATAAAAGTAGTTTTACAAAAATAAGTGATATTCATTCTGTAAATACTAGGAACAGACACAAGCTAGTAGTACCAGTTACTCGACTCCATCGAGTCAGTAATTCATTCTTGGGGCGATGTATACGCTTTTACAACAAAATTCCAGAAAATATACAAAGTTTGACCTGTTCAAAGTTCAAAAACTTTATTAAACTAAGTTTGTATAAAAAGGGTTATTATAATATTAAGGAATTTATGGATGATAATAACCCCTGGAAATGAGGTGATCGCTACCAAGCTATTTCTAATTTGTTGTGTTGTTAATTTGTGTAACATCTTGATTGTAAGCTGTTATTTTTAAAAAAAAAGTCCCGCTGGGTTTCTTGCTGGTTCTTCCCAGGACAGAGGTTTTTTCCGAACCAGTGGTAATCAAACAAAAGAGTGACTTTCAATAAGTATTATTTATAATCTATATTGAATAAAAAAGTTAAAAAAAAAAAAAAAAAAAAAATAGATATATATATATATATATATATAAATCAATGAATCAGAACGAAGAATGAAGAATGAAGAAATGAATCAGAGAAAACCTCAGATTTTACCACATAACTCTTACATCAGACGTGAGTATATATGGACTATAGTGTGAGTCTGTCTTTCTTATTTGCTTTGTTCCGGTCTGTATTTTACTTTCTTAGAAGTTATCGCTTCAATTGAAATACACCACAAAAGCCTACATAATATTATATATCCTACAGCAGAGTACAGATCATCTCTCATTATAACTGGAAGGATTTTTGGCCAGGGAAAATTCCTTCATGCTTGCCCCAATGTTTTTGGCGGACTTTTCATATCCTTGATATTTTTTTTTATTTTTTATAAGAACAACCTGCAAGCCTTACGAATTTATTCTTTAGGACCGACCACGTAGTCAATCAATACTTAAAATTGCAATCAAGAAATTCAGTAGCGACGCAATCGAACTCTGTTTGTTCATACATACTTTAAAATAAATCTCAAGCAAATTTAATTAACAATAGCAAAACAAAAAGTATCGTATAACAAAATTATACATCATACCAGTGAGACTTTTTGGAGTCGATATTCCACTAAACGACGAAATATATAGAAATTTTAACACTACCACATTGGTCACCACAGCACCTAAATATGACCGTGTACCGAAGAAACGTCATTATCATCGTATTAATATTACACTAAAATAAATGGCTTTGACGTGCTTTTTTTATATAATCTACAAAGTGCGCAAGAACTTATAGGTAGTAACTGGTACGACGCAAATGCACAACAGTTAATTTAATCCAAAAGTTTCAGATAACCTTGCCCTTGTATATTTGGGGTCTCGTCGACTGGAACCTACCCCAACGCTCACTAAGTAGGTCGAGTTCACCGACGTCAAAATCGATCCGACGTACATTGATTTATTTAGGTCATTTGAGATGCCTCTATCTTTAAGAAACTTAGATGTTTTGATGTTTAGAATACAAATACAAACAATGAAATAAGCAATAACATAAGCCTCCCCCGTAGATTGGCTCATAAGGAAGATATTTGATAAGGTTGTCACTCTTGGTAGGTGGGATAGAAACTGCAGTTTTTAATTGTTTTGAGTTGTTATAACAAATGCTGCTACCCATCTCCTGTTTTATTTCATTTTGTCGTTTGGTTTAGTGGATATTCTTACACCGCCACTACCCGGTTATTTCAATAATATTCAAAATTAAATATGACGATAGGCTTTTTTGTTCGGTCGTTAAGATATATGCAATACTACAAAATTATTACGAAATTAAAATTAAATAATATTAACTATAAAATACTGCTGAAATACTATATTTTTCAACTTAGTAGACGAACAAGTAATGTTATCTTTTTTTAGTTGGGAGATCCTCGTGAAAACTCCCTAATGTGATGTTGTGATGGCGTCACCAAGCTTTTAGCCTATGGCATTCAACTCCACTCAACTCAAAAACGTCCTGTATCGGATCAATAAAATCATATTTTAACACACATAAGGGTCATAAGGGTTGCCATTGACGAGTTCGGTTTTTATTTGTAAAATACCAGACGTGAACCACTACCACATAGGGTGCCGGTATGTGACCAAGACCGTTCCTAAAATATGGCAATTTTAAAATTCTTTTGAAAATTGTAGGTAGTAATTAAAGCGTAAGAATATCTGATACCCACATCATCCCGTGGCTGTCCTGTCGTAAGAAGCAACAGAACAAAACTGAAGGAGAGGCCTTTGTTCAGCGATGAACTTTTTATAGGCTGTATTAAATGAAAGTGTAATTAGAATTTTTTATTATTTACCTAATACATCAACTCAAATAACTTATTGAGTAACGCGGTTTTATTAATCGTTGTTTGATTGCACGCCGCTGTAAACTTCAATAAAGGTATTATATAGTGGAGCCCTGTACACGGGCCTTTACAGAACTCACTCTATGCCCGGGCCGTTGCCGTGGTGACACGACTTGGTGCAGTTTATACGATCCTCTGTCTGTGTAGCTAGGTAGCTTACGAGCGCGCCTGTGTGTGTATCGCTTTATATCGGAATATAATTTGCATAGGCTGCATGATTGAAATACGAACTGCCTTTATAAATTTAACTACACAAATAGTAGATGAAACGGATATTAAATTGAAATAATTATTTCGTAAATAGATTTTACGCGGACGCTACTACTATTATAATATTTAACTCTACTTACTCGTAATATTGAATATAAGAATGGTACTTTTTTAATAATTTGTGATCTATAGTCAGAGATCAGTTAAAAAAAAAAACTCTAATATAGCAACTGAATAGATAGCTGAAAAATAATTACGTAATTATTATTTAACATCAAAATACGAGTTTTATTCAATTTACTGAGTTTTTTTTACCGAGGTTTACCCTGTTTTGTATTTCTTTGAATAACCTTCAGTAGGTTCTTAATGTTTGAAATAAAGACCTCAAAGTTCTTGTAATTTAAATTTTTCACTAGATGTTATTGATATCCGATCTAACAATAGAGTAGTATATATATATATAAAATTTTAGCACAGGTAGTTTAATAAAATAGCAAAAATATTTCAATACAATGGTTTATGATCAATTTTTTTTTTATTAGTACTTTTGGTCGTAATTACAAAAATGTTATTAAAAATGTTTAAAGTTTTAATATAAAGTAAATCAATTTTTTTGTAAATTTTTTGAACCAATTAAATTACCTATTAATGATTAAAAAAAACCACGGAATGCACAGTCATACCTCTCTGCAAATTCGAGCGCTTCGAGGGACAGCAAAATTGTAAAATCAAAACGTCGATCTTAAAATGTCAATTTCAGTGTTGAATTTATACCGCAGATATCTAATGAAGCCGTTTCTCCATAAAGCATTTAATCAAACTAAATACACACTATAGTTTGTTGAAAAGCCAGGCCAGATAGTTTCTTTTTATAGAATAAGGTTAACAAATCGTGCTGGTTTGTTTCTGTTATATGCCCTAATTCTAGGAGCAGCACCTGATGGTAATTGGTGTTGTGGTCCCTGGACATCTCCACATCAATCCCTGATTAAGGATCAAAATGCAGATGCATTGCCATCCCTGACGAATAAGATGGAATGTCTCGTTTCCAGTAAAAAATCAGCATTGAGCTGCTATTTTACGCTGGAATTCTGTGAGAGCGTAGTCCTTTCCAGGTCGAGTGTACAATAGATATAGAGTAGTAAGTTTGCACTAAATCTTTGGTGGTAACATATGGGTCTGAAACGTGGTCCTTCGTGGCTGTGCTCGTAGTTTATCTGCGAGATAGACTTCAAAATGAGAATATCCGCAATAAAGCTGGAGTAACCGATATAGCCCAACGAATCAGTAACCTGGCGCGTTGAGGGACCGTTCAATAGCTCTAAGAACCACATGACAACTGATAGAGTGGCTGTTTCGTACTGGTAGGCGAACTGAAGGACACGTCACCACCTCACTAGATGGAGTGACGACCTGGTAAGAGAGTGCAGGAAGTTTATGGATGCAAGTGCCTCAGGACCTGTGTAGCATTAGTTGGGAAAGGCTTATGTACAGCATGATGTCTATAAACAATCTAACAACACAAACGTCTATGGAAATAGATCATCACTGGCAACTCGTTTACGTCGAAGACGTGATATTTCTCTAATGACCATATAAAAAATCTTTAGAGCATTCAGCGAACTATGGAAAGGACTGTACTCTCTGCGTGATATAATCCATAACGAAGATATCCACCAATAAGACAAAAAAGTGACATAGCGCAACAGATGTATAAGCTGAAGTGGCAAATAAATATTTAAGGTTTTCGTGTAGTAGACTCGGCCCGGTTAGATGGAGTGACGACAGTGAGAACCTGGTAATTTTACCAAACCTTCATTATATCTTGTGCATATTGTCTTAATTAAAGCAAATTAAATTTAAGTCAAATTAGTATACAAAACCGCAATAGTCAATTCGATCACGTTTATACGGTACGTTGGAAAATATTTATTACAAATTCGCTGTGAAAGTAACAAGTCATTTAATAAGTTTGTAACAAACAAAATTTAAATCTATATATATATATATTTAAATATACTGCAGCAAGATTTAACAAACATCAGATAGAATTCAGGTTTTCCACATTAAATGCGCTACACAGAATATTCGCGGAAATTAAAAATATGTGAAAATTGTTAATAATAGCGCACATAGTTTGTAATATTAAATTTCGCTCAAGCGTATATTCATTACGTACCTAGATATCGCGATAAAGCTGGAGCTCCGGGGTGCATCCAAACTGTTGCCATAGCAACGCCCGGGGCTCGCTTGCAGCCGGGATGCGTAGGGTGGACATGATACCGATATGTACGTATATTAAAATCTACATATGAAAACTTCACAAAGAGTTAAAGTAGAAAATTAAATTATGGAAATAATTAAATGTTGCTTTCGTTATTGTAAAGTCATAAAAGCTTGGTAGTGTTATCTCTTTGTTGATTTCGACTATTATGAGAGCT